TCGCTTACAGCGGGTAACAAATCGTGTACACCTGAAACTTGCGTAGGCGAACAAACGTGATTGATTTCACGTTTCGCAGTAGAGTAGTCGCCGTTGTCGGTGTACCTAAAATGGAAAGAAAATAATAGTTCGTGTTTGTTAAAAATTCTATACGACCATTAACGACCGTGAAATTAGTCCGCGATCGAGCTTAGCGTTCGCAATTAGATCGAATAGATAGGCGTTTAAGTCCGCGATCGCATAGCTTCTCGCGAAAAATAGCCATCCGCGCGTTCACGATTCTAGACGATGACATCCGGCGGTGCAAAGTTACGATTCCGATCGCCAAAGCTAGTCCGGCGCGATCTCGATAGCAAAAGAGGCAGTGACAGCTTAAGCAACCTAGACAGCCCGAGGCGATGTTAGCACACCGACGCTAAGAGGTGCAACGTTCAATGGCGAATGCGCTTGCCATAGCCAACCTGCACAGGATTGAGCTAAATCTGACAGCTTTGGTTGCCAAGGTAGTACAAGATGGCAGAGTTGGGCACATTTTATTTGAATAGCCAATACAATTTTTGTTCGTAGAATTTATTCGAAGAATTTACTCGTTGAATATATCCGAATAAAATTCTATTCGAAGAATTTACTCGATATGTTATCCGAATTGAATTTGATTCCACGAACTTATTCGATACCTTATTCGGAAGAACTTCTATTCAAAATATTTGCCGATTAAAATTTTATTCAAAGAATTTATTCGAAACGTTATTCGGATAAAATTGTGTTCGAAACATTATCTGAATAAAATTTTATTCGAACCGTTACTCGAATAAAACTTTATTCGAAGAATTTATTTGAATCAGTGTTCAAATAGAACTTCATTCGAAGAATTTATTTGAATCAGTGTTCGAATAAAACTTTATTCGAAGAATTAATTTGAATCAGTGTTCGAATAAAACTTTATTCGAAGAATTTATTTGAATCAGTATTCAAATAGAACTTCATTCGAAGAATTAATTTGAATCAGTGTTCGAATAAAACTTTATTCGAAGAATTTATTTGAATCAGTGTTCAAATAGAACTTCATTCGAAGAATTAATTTGAATCAGTGTTCGAATAAAACTTTATTCGAAGAATTTATTTGAATCAGTGTTCAAATAGAACTTCATTCGAAGAATTAATTTGAATCAGTGTTCGAATAAAACTTTATTCGAAGAATGTATTTGAATCAGTGTTCAAATAGAACTTCATTCGAAGAATTAATTTGAATCAGTGTTCGAATAAAACTGTATTCGAAGAATTTATTTGAATCAGTATTCAAATAGAACTTCATTCGAAGAATTAATTTGAATCAGTGTTCGAATAAAACTTTATTCGAAGAATTTATTTGAATCAGTATTCAAATAAAACTTCATTCGAAGTATTCGAATAAAATTTTATTCGACGAATTTATTCGAATCAGTATTCTAGTGTACCACTCGCCTAAATTCAAGCAAAGATGCAAGGAACCGCCAGAAATTGCGATTTTCGGTTCAATGTAACGCTTTCGCTGCTAGGAAAATTTCACTTGACCTCTCAAAGAGTTGATTTCATTTTTAAATGCACGCATTTTGTTATCGATCACTATTTCGATGAGCCAGTTTTTTTTAACATCGAGGAACGCTGCGCTATTTGACTTCTGCAAACAAATGCGCCAGCTGTGGCAGCAGTATTATTGAGAAACAATTAACGGGGTACTATATATGAATTTCTAGCTGCTCAGATATTAATGTTCATGCATGTCCTGGGTGTTAAAATTGATAGCAGTCGCATATTCCCGTTTAACAGGTGAATCCAAAGTAGGGTGCGTCCCTGAGGTCCGAGATAGACTTATTATCTACCATCTTACGCTACCAAATGGATAGTAAGTATCCCCAAAGTGCAGCTTGCGAGATGACGCTGCATCTTTCAGTGGTCCGAGCTATAATTCAAAAACTTCCCATTTCTATGTTTAAAAAGTTGAGTTCTATGTTCAAAAAACTGATCTCTATGTTTAAAGAACTGAGTTCTATATTTTTAAAAAACCGAGGTCTACAATTAAAAAACTGAATTCTATATTTTAAAAAGGGGGTCTACGAGGTCTACGATAAAAAACTGAGGTTCAAAGTTAAAAGGAAACCGGTGAAATAAGACAAATTTCATCAGAACATATAATACCATATCTTCATTCTACGACTTATACGCATTTTAACATTAGATTGCTCGAAAGTTCGTTGGAAACCATTTCTATGAATTCAATGAAACGAGCTCTATGAAATGAGAAACGAACTTTCTGTACAACCTAACGAAAACAACTTATTATGTTGTTCTGAAAGTTCGTTTCGCATTTCATAGAGTTTGTCTCATTGAATTCGTATAAAAGACACGAAACGAACTTTTCGAGCTAATCGAACTTTGGAGATAATCAAACGTAGGAAATATTCCGTAGTTTAGATAGCTTGAAAGTGCGAACCGAATCACGATCGTAGAGAATCATTTGGCGACCTAACCTTGTAAAATCGAACAGCGACCCAGTTTCCCCGTGGACCCAGCTGATCCAACCACGCAAAGAGTTAGAAGCAGCAAGGTTTTCTAAGCCCCGGTCCGCTTCAGTATCCGCGAATGAGCCCGTAGCAGGTATTAAAGTTGAAAGCAGTCGCTGAGCTTCATCTAGCAGGCGAATCCTATGTAGGGTATGTCCCACAGGTGTAGTGCGTCTTTCCGCGACCGAAGTCGCCTACTCTAATGCTGTAAAGTTCTATACAGAAGCTGAAACTTTGCAGGGTCACGCGTTATTCGAGATAAGCGCAGGCAGAATTCGTAAACCGCAGCTTGAAGACACCGTTCAGGAACGGTTGGAAACGCTTTCAGCACTGGGCATTTAATTTTGGGAATACAGTGAAGTCTCCCTAATTGACGCTCAGCTTGGAAACAAAAATGGACAATTTGGGAAGAGAAGATTCGATTATTCGAGTCTTGCGGCTCGTCGAATAAAATTGTGTCGACAGCAAGTATTGCGGCTTGCATAATTACCGATTGTCAACAATTATAAAAACAAGCCGCAAGGCTCCTCTTCCCAAATTGTCCATTTTTGTTTCCAAGCTGTGCGTCAATTAGGAAGTATTCAATTGCGTGAAAGATCCTCAGGTACTAATCCATTTTGCTTCACTCGTTAAATTAAGAAATTATGTTGCGCTTATATCTCATCTCGAAAAAATACATTTTCTAACACAAACAAATAAAAATCAAACGTCTTGTAGTTTATTTATGAGGAACGCATTAGAATCAATGATAATAATGATGCAGTTGTGTTTTATGCAACTAGATCATTCTACGAATTTTGCTGAATACAATGGTGCAGTTCAACATTGTACTCTGACTATATAAATATAGATTAACAATTATTCCAACGAATTTTTCTGATACTATTGAACTTCGTTTGAAAATTAATAACGTAGGCAACTATAATACATTTATAATTGAGAACATTTCTGGAAAAAGGGCGCATAGCCAAACCGAGGAAACGTGTAAACCTCATCAAAAGTTTTATCTTTAGTTTGGTGAACATTTTGCGATGTTTGAATTGTAAAATTATTAAATAAATGGTTTATGACGAACGCTGCTATTCTCCAGTAAAATTTAACTTTCATGGGAATATTTTTAGGTACATGGCAGTTCATTAAAAATGATTTACCGAAAAGAGGCCTATACAGACTATGAGTTCTTTTTACAGAAACGTCCTCAATTACATCATTTTATACAAAAAAGTTTGCACAATAATTTGACGTAGAATGCAACTGAATAACTATCACGTTTACAGCAAGATACACGACCAGACTTACAAAAATCTCTTGAAATTTGAAGATTTATAAATTCTAATACGATCTATGAACGTCTTGCGAATGGAAGTATCGAGGAGGAAATTAGAACTCATTGTGCACTATTTGCATGAATATTGCAAATTCGAGACACGCAATATTCGGTGAACGCGATGTGAATTCTGCCAAACGTTGTTCATCGAGGTGTATTTATGTTCCATCAAACGGTCCAGATTTTTACGCGTTTGCCTTTGTTATTGGGAGTCGCAGCGTTCCGCTGGTGAAATACTGGCGCGGATCGATCCCGTCTTGCATCGGCGCGTAAGAAAATTGAAATTTCCTTTGGCGAGGTGCGCGGAACAACGTGCTCGACGGGTGCATACACGGTGGATATCACCCAGAAACTGGAGTTAGATCGGGCACAGACCGAGAGCAACCTGCGAACACTCGAAACACACGCCAACTGCACCACGATATTCTGTTGGACTGGACTTGCAGCATTGCTCGTGGCAATTACGGTTTGCGATTGGTTCAAGGTCGCCCGTGCATCGGCCTCGTCCTGTAATTCTTGTTCACGTTTGGCGAATTCTATTCCGAACCGTTTTGCACTCGAAAAGTTTCCTGAGATCGTCTATCAGCTACGGAAACACATTTATTCCAACGGCAAATTGCAGTTCTTATTGCTAGACCGCGGCTCTTTGTGCATTTATCATATTTTCTGAAACGAAATCTTCTTTCTGCTAGGAAATCATGCATATTTACCCCTTGCGTTGTGACAAGGAGTCAGATTCATGATGTATTAAATAGTCATCTAAATAGAAACAAAATTTGATTCTACTGTTATTAAAGTTTGAGGTTGAAAGTATATGAAAATATACGAGGAACGATAATTTCCTGGTTCTATTAGGGAATTATTAAGGAGGAAAAGAAGTGCTAATATATTTTATTTATTCATTCATTTATTTATTCATTCATTCGTTCATTTATTTGTTTATTCATTCATTTATTTATTCATTCATTCGTTCATTTATTTGTTTATTCATTCATTTATTCATTCATTAATTTATTCATTCATTCGTTCATTTATTTGTTTATTCATTCATTTATATATTTCATTTATTTATTCATTTATCTATATATTTCTTATTTTTGTATTGAAATAATGAAGCGTGACAATAGAACTTAGTATAAAAATTATAACAGCCTTTTTATTATAAGATAAGATTTATTTAAAGATAGATTCTCCCCTATTTCACTATGACTAACATTATAATGATGCAAAAATCTTGCTCTGTTTCGATAAATGCAGTCTTCACATTTTTAGAAGGCAATGCAAACTATAATTTCATCTTTTGATAGTTTCAGCGTTAATGATTCTCATGCAAAACAAATTGCGAAGCACACATTCCAATGTTTTCATTTCGCTAATTATGATCTCTTTGGAATTATTTATCAGCACGTAATTAACAGCAATTTCCTCGCCTCTCATCAAAACGAACGTTCAAATTGTCGACTAGACTTAAGATTAAGTTTCGAAAGCCGTATTTGTCACTGTAGCGACAAGTGTGCATCTATCGATTCAGCGTTGCTGAAGTTCGATCGAAGAAACGAAGGAAGATCGTTACATCCTTGTGGAACTGGATTCCTCAGCGATCTCTATCTATAAAACAGAAAACTAATCCCCGGAGAATTTCGTTTAATCCATCCTTCGATGTTGTAAATCTCTGCGATGCTCGAGATTACATGCAGTGTGGTCCTGATAAAGCGCAAGTAGTCTGGTGCACCGAGAACGATAAATAATTTATTATTAAACAACTGCGCACCTTCGTCTTCGGAAGACATACTTCGCCGACGAAACCCGCTCTGTACCTTTTAAACTGACCTCTGTTTATAATATTTTCTCTTAATTACCAACGGATTGCGGACCTTTGCGAATATCTCCGAAACAAAGCAAAACAGAAGTTCGAACAAAACTTTCATCAGATATTTGAGCCGTTTATTTTGTAAGTGTCATAAGTCACTTTGTTTTTAAGTCGATATATTCAAGGGTTTGCGTTTTCAACACCGTTTAACCCTTTGGCCTATAACCACGAGTCTGACTCGTGGTGAAAAATTTGTGCCATAAGCGAAAGCCACGAGTCAGACTCGTGGTAAAGAATTTGTGCAAATTTGTGCAAAAATAAATTTTTTTTATCAACTGATCAATTGATTATGATTGCACCCTAGACGTCTTAAAATTACTATTTGTACCTAAACATTGTTTATTATTTCGCAATTCCTTTCGTTGCACTGAAATATATATGTCATGAAAGGTACACATTTTGCGCCAGTTCAGGTACACGGCTGAACAGTTGAATGGCACGGCGCGCGACCGATTTTCTTGTTTACTATAGCTCGCGCAATTGGCAGATATCGTGTAGGCCAAGGGGTTAAAAATATGGATGCTAACTTTCGAGAAGATTTACTTGTATTCGTTATCTCAGGATACTGATATTTTTCTCAGTATAAATAATTTCGTATAAACATTAAAAAATCACCACTTTTCATTACGGTAAAGTGACTTATGCCACTTCCAAAATAAACGGCTCATTTATCGAGATGTTTCTTAATTTCTCCGCATAAATGTGGAGTTACAGGGAATTCCGAATTTTAGAGATTGACCGCGAATTTTATAAAATGACAAAAATGATGAGAACAAATTTCAAAGTGTAGACCAGTCAGAAAATTTTAAGAACGTCCCTGCATTTTTCGCAATTCGTTAGAATTGTTAGCGAAAGAAATATGTTTTTATCTCACTTACATTTAACACAATTTAGTCGGAAAATTCTTATTTTGCATAACGATCAGCTGTCTTCTGATCATTTTGAAGAGTATCCTCGCTTAATGAAGACGCTGTGTCAAACATTTGTACGCTTCCGAATCTTCATTTATACTTTGTAATTCGAAATCTAATTTTTACAGTTGATTTCTTCAAAATGTTATTTCTCGAACATCTAATGTTAAATAACAATCTTTAATAATAACGACTGCATTCAGTATTGCTTCAGACTGCTTCAATAAAATACTAAAGACTGCTTCAATATTGCTGAAGACTGCTTCAAAATTCAGTTAAGAGAGGACACTTCGCAATAAAATTAATTTGAAAATCTCTAGAATACACTGCAGCAGGAATCCACTTACGTGAACTCGGCGGGAGACAACCAGTTTATATAACCGAGTAGGTTCATCTAATAAGAGTCCGTTGATTACCCCCACTACGTGTAACTTCTCGTTCAAATAACCGGAGTTTGCGTTCAGATAAATGGATTTAACCAAACAAACAAAAGAAAACGTGCTGAGATTGCGTGTACTTATCTTCACGATGCCTAGGTGTCCACATAATTGGAGTAACGCTCGACGGTAGTTCAAACAACAGGAGTTCAACAGAACTTCACTGCATGGGAGATTTCGTCGAAAATTTCGTTCCAGTAAACGAAGTTCGGACAAGTGGAGTTCTACCGTATTTTCTTAAAATCGGTTAACAATTGGATTATCGACGTCGCCCACAGATTTGACCCTTAAATGCATGATCTTTTGTCTTGAATTTTAAAAAATCGTTTTTTATAGGAATGTAGTCATAGGTTACGTAAAAAATAAATAAATAAATCCAGGTAATAATATTGAGTATTTATTTTGAAAAAAGGTTGTATGTAGACTTTTGGCAACAATATGCGTTTATTACTAAAATTATTGTAGACGTAAACAGATGGTCATGTATTTATATTATCTATTAGTACAGGAATTTTCACATTATTTATAAATGAAATGCAGCAAAGCAATTGCGATTTTTGTTCTGACACGAAGCAATTTTTATACTCGAAAAAAGAAAATATCTCTCCAAGTAACAAATTGAAGGTTATCACCCACCACATTCAAATGTCAAAAAACGTATAACTTACTCGCCAAAAGTAATGTCAAGTCTTTTATTTCACACATGGTCAATTGTCTATTGTTATCAACGTGTGCTCGGAAACGCGCATACTCAGGTGTTTGAATAAAATGAAGTGGAACTGGAATGTAGACAATTGGCAACAATATGCATTTAAGGGTTAAGCCAGAGTCGTGCAAGTCGCCAAGAGAATTAGCGAAAAGTGGCAGCATCGGAACAAACGGGCGCAGAATCGCCGGCGACAGAGAAGTCAGATGTACAAGGTAAGTACTTTCGCGTCCCTTTATCATTATCCGACCCGCTGTCAGATTTCGCGTTGAATCCTTTTCAACGTCCGAGCAGCCAGAGCGCTTTTTACCTCGGGGAGTGATAGCTTTCGAAACGTTACATTATACACGGGGAGCTGCTTTCTCTACCGGATCGGTTCATCTTCGCTTCCTTTGCTGCGGGTCGCGGCGCGTTAGGAGGAAGGAAGGAAGGAGATAACGGGCACGTAGGACGAGCAAGAGGGAGAAAGAAGGCTGCACGGGCGATAAAGATGAAGAGCTGGAACCACGATGAAAGAACCGGGACGAAGGAGCGGGAAAAACACAACCGCAGAGCCGAGAATACACGACGTATTATCTATACGAGACGAGTTTATGAGCGTCAACCCTCCCGCGTCGTCGCTCGCGTTCCCCCGGTGTCTCGTTGTCTCCTTAAAAGTAAAATGTAATCCCCCCCCGTGTTCACGACTTTCCGGAGTGTCGGTATCTTCGAGATATAACCGAACGGGAGGCGCGCGGAAAAAATTATGCGCGTCGGCGTGCGTGAAAAAGTAAATCGGAGTACGGGAAGGGTGTACGAGATACGAAAATCCGGGAAAATACTGATTCGACGGACCACTGAAATTGAACTTCACAACCTGACGCAGTAGCTGTGATAAGAGACATTTTTGCAAGTCATTGCATTAGAATTAATGGCATTAATTTAAATGGATTTTGTCGGGAATAACTGTTACGAATGATTAAAATCTTTCTTTGTGTCAATAACTATTATTAACGAAGGAAATTTAATTTGGTTACGGTAATCAGTTCGAATGACCCGAATTTATTTTGATTGTTAGTAACCATTATCGATGACTAGAATTTATTTTGGCTATTCGTAACCGTTAATCATCGCAAATCATCTTTTTGGTTACTGATATAATCTTTTATAATATAATATAGTATAATATAATATAAGTTTTTCTGGATAATCAATCATCGACAACTCTACTAACTCTAACACTGATTTATCGATAAAATAAATTGTACGAAATCTGTGCACATAGTTAAACATAGTTGATTGTATAGTACTTTATTACCCTTACTCACACAGAACGAATAAACAAGTAATTTCACAACAGGAGAAAACCGAAGATACCGAATGACATATGAGGCATAACTGTTAGGGAAATTACTATGTGGGAATATTTAAATCAAAAATAAATGTGCGGACTTCTGGATTGACCCAATATTAGCAGACTAGCAGTGCTCTGTCTAAGTAGTTACAATCAGCAATGGTCAGGCATAACGTAGCATGACCTACAGTCAGAGTTTTGCTAAATCAATTACATTGTAATTCAATTTCGCAATTTAATTACATTGTATTTCTATTGCATAATAATTCAATTATATTGTCTTTCAATTACATTGTTATTCATATACATAGTAATTCGATTACATTGTATTTCAATTATATAGTAATTCACACAATTATATTGTATTTCAATTACATAGTAATTCGATTATAAATTGTATTTAATTATGTAGTAATCTCCAATTATATTGTATTTCAATTACATAGTAATTCAATTATATCGTATTTCAATTACATTGTTATTCAATTACATAGTAATTCGATTAAATTGTATTTAATTATATAGTAATTCAATTATATTGTATTTCAATTACATTGTTTCTCAATTACATTTTATTCAGTTAAATAGTAACTCGATTGCATTGTATTTCAATTACATAATAATTCGATTATATTATATCTCACTTACATTATTTTTTAATTACATTCGATTACAATGTATTCCAATTATATAGTAATTCAATTGTATTGTACTCCAATTACGTTGTACTTTAATGACAATTTGCCTTCAATACATGCAATTCAAGTGAATCAATTTTTAAAAAATCAACGAGCCCCATTTTGATAATAGAATCTCGTGTAAGAAAATGCATCCCTGATTATTTTATCAATGTTGTATGAAAACAACCACAACCATAATATTTTTCGAGAGAGAGAAATAGAAAAAGAGAGCGAGAGAGGGAGAGAGAGGGAGAGTTTGCAAAACCGTGTTCCATCCTGTGTTCCTTGTTTGATATTTTACGGAAAATTCGACGAGCGTCGTAAAACATGTAGAGTGTTCTTCGGAAGGATTAATAGTGCGACACTGCTCAGCATAACCCAACGAAATTACACAGAACTTGCAGCGTAAAGCGAATGAAGGAAGTAGTATTTCGTGTACGACAGCGGAATGGCTTTCTGTCCGCGATAAAAGGCTCGTTAAACTCCTCGATCGTCCCTGAAATAGAGGAGACGGTGTAAATGAGTGATCGAGACAGAAATCAGTGTAAGTTGCGTTTACGATCTGTTAAATTAGAATGTGGCGCATCGACGTGTCACCGTTTCAAACCATTCAAGCGGTACAACACAATTGAACTTGACATACATTCATTTCAAATTACAGCTGCCATAGTTGCGTTTATTATCTTTTAATCGGTGCCTGAAAATGGAACACGCTTAATAAATGTCGGAGGTGATGACTCAACTTTCATAGCAGAAAGAATACTGCGAAGAAATTGGATAGTTCTATAACAATATTATTCTACGAAACGTGTACTCATTAAAAAATTACATTCATCATTATTATTATTATTATTAATTTGTACTAATAATAATAGATGTTTTATTATCATTATTAATTTGTACTAATAATAATAGATGTTTCATTATCATTATTCATTTATACTAATAATAATAAGTATTTTATTATTATCATTATTAAATTATATTAATAATGTATATATAGATAATCTATATTTACATAAATATGTAAATATAGTAGATGTTTCATTATTATGTTGTTTTATTATAAAAGCACTGCTGCGATGTTAAAAATTTCGTTAAATTCATTTCCACAATTTTCGATTTTCTTCCCAAAATGACCTCGTATGTTCCTTTGTTCTTTCTGACTTTATACTGTATGTATAAGAATATAGCTATATGTGAGCATCTCTTCGAATTTTCTATGAATATATTTCGGGCCAGTGTTTTGAAATTTATTCGATGCTTAGCATAGCGTTCTTTCGGGAAGAAAAATCGTGGAACACGTCGATGGTTATCAATAGCAGTATCCTACCAGTAAAAAATCAAATGCCACAAGTAGTCAAATCCGAGTGAACTGAATTGAATTAAAACTTTATTTCAATTTCAAATGATTCCAGTTTTGAAACAAGATAAAGCTACATTCGGTGCTAACACTATTTGTATTTCATAATCGTATGAAAACTTACTGTATAACGCTTATGCATAATGTTTCCCGGCATAGTCATCCGGAGACCGTAGATTTCCATGCAAATTTACGTTTTTAAAAATTGAGGAAAGTTTGAAGTGGGTAGAAGCTTATTGTCTCAGTCAACATTTCTACCGCGTCAGGAAGAATACAGCAGAAACTCCAGCATTCGAAGATCGCATCCGCACGTTCTGCCGCCCGGATATTAAACTATTCCCACTATGGTTTAGCATGGTAATGTGGTTGAACTTATTAAAAAGTTTATGGCAAACAGGCCATGCAGCGAAACAGATATGAAATCCTTAAACCGGCGAGAACCGTTTCGTTTCCACTAACCAACTATTTGTTTTGCAAAATGTGAACAATCTCACCGAGCGTATTCAAGTTCGTTAGGCGTTGATAGCTTCGCTGAAAATATCAACCATCAACGAATGCAGACAGGATTCTAATTAAAGATAGATCATGGTCAGCTCTTTAACGCAGCGTTGGGCAAAATTTTAATCGGATGACGGATAAAAGATTAAGGCTGACGAATATAGTTTTTATTAGACACTATCAAATAAATATTTAACCGAATACAAAATTATCAAGATACACACACACAAATTTATTCGATTAACAATTCATTCGAATGAGATTTTACCAAACGTCAATTGTATCTCTCTTCACCCTCATGAAAAAGTGACGC